CAGGGAGCCCGATGCGGGGCTCGATCCCAGGACCCTGGGATCATGACCTGAGCCGAAGGCAGACGCTTAATGACTGAGCCACCCAGGTGCCCCTAGGCCTATAGGGTTTTAAGAAGATTGGTATGACAGGGGCGCCCGGCTGGCTCAGTGGTAGAGCACGTGAATCTCGAGCTCGGGTTGTGAGTTCAAGCCCCATGTTGGTTGTAGAGATTACTTAAAATCCTAAAAAAAAAAAAAGAAGAAGAAGAAGAAATGGTATGGCTGACAGGGTTTTCCACAGGCTGAAACACTCTCACATGTAAGTGTCCCCTAGGAAGGATTTGGGAGGGCGAGCTCAGAAGGAGCACGGCGTGGAGGATGAGGAAGCAAGAAGGCACGCACTCGCCGTGTCCCCTGGTCCAGTACCTTAAGACCCCACCTTCTGAGCCTTCTTTGGAAAGAGCCGGGTGGCATAATGGAGGGAGAAAGAGAAGCAGGGGTGTTCCGGAGGTGCGTTTGAGGGTTGGACATAAGGCACCTGCTCACCTGATGAGTAGCTCGGCCTGTAAATTTGAGCCTCGATACTGGACAGGGCAGCGTGGCCGAAGGGGAGTATGAGTGAGGGGGGCCAGCAGTGTGGCGGGCTTGCAGTTAAAACATCCTTCCTCTGCGGGTCACACAAGAGACATAAGGGGAGGTGGGACTGCATTTTAGTTCTTCTGTAGAAGGCTGATCATGAGCCGTCTCCTCCCCGGAGGCTGAAGGCACCTTCTCTGTCCTCTGGCCCTGCTCTGGCCCTGCTCCCCTTCCCGCTGCCTCCCCTCCGCCCCCCAGCCCACCCACACCCCTAACTGGCAGCCGGCCCCACAGCGCGGGGAGGCCCCTTTTCCCTTTCCCTGCCTCAAACACGAGATCAACCCAAATAAGCTCTCAGCAAAAATCAAGGAATCAAAGATGTAATTCCAATTTTTTTTTTTTAATTTCTGGCTTGTTTTTGTGGTTGTACAAGCCAATTTTTTTTTTAATTTTCATTTTCAAGTAATTCTAGATTCACAGGAATTTGAAAAAGGAGTGTCGCGAGGTCCCATGCCCCCTCCCCCGGTTTCCCGGGTGGTCCCGCTTGGACGACTAGGGCACCACCACCTCGGATGGGCAGCCCACACTGGCGCAGTCCAGACTCTGGTTCCATTTCCCCGGCTGTACAGTCATTTCTTCTGTAAACCATTTGTCTTAATTGTGAACATGATCTAACCATATTACAGAACACTTGGAAAATAAAGGGGTGAAAAAATTCCTCTCGGTTCTGCTATCCTGCTTCCCACTGGATGCATTTTAGTGTCATTTCCTTCCAGTCTGGTGTGTACTTTTAGCCTAATTGAAAGCATCATTTATATACAGTATTACAACCTTTTATTAAATGTTTTAAATAAACATATTTTCATAACCCAGCCTTTATCATTGTAAATGGCCACTTAATATTTCAAATGAATATGCCATATTTCACTTACTTATTCCTCTCTTGCCAGACACTTAGATTATTCCAGTTTTACTCTATGACAGTTTTGTAACAAACAACTTCGTTTATTTAACATTTTCCGTATTTGGGGTTCTTTCCCTAGGATTCACACCCAAGGATGTGAACATTTTTATGACTCTCCTGATATAAAACACCAGATTACTTCCTAAAGTAATTAGAAATGACTTAGCCTGCTGGGCCACTAACATTTTTGAATCCTGCCAGCCAATTACATGGTCATGTAATCGTTGAAAGATGATACCTTTTTTATGAAGTTGTAGTTTCTAATTACTTGTAAAGTTGATCATTTTTTTCTTGTATTTACCAGTGATCTTTTCTATTGTGTGACTTAGCTATTTGCATTCTTTGCTCCGTCGTCTACTGTCTTACTTATTGATTTGTAAGAGCTGCTTATCTAATGAAAATCTTAACCTTCCATTCTGTTAAATATGTGCAAATATTTCTTTTTTTTTTTTTAAGATTTTATTTATTTATTCATGAGAGACAGAAAGAGAGAGAGAGAAGCAGAGGGAGAAGCAGGTTCCCAAGGAGCAGGGAGCCCGGTGCGGGACTCGATCCCAGGACCCTGGGATCATGGCCTGAGCCGAAGGCAGATGCTTAACCATCTGAGCCACCCAGGCACCCTGTGCAAATATTTCTTCACAGTTGGTTGTTTACCTGTTCATTTGGCTTATCTCTAATATATAAGTGGAAAATTTTTATGAAACCAAATCTACCCATCTTTTTTTTCTTCTCACTTTCAAAACTCCATCTTCCCCAAGATGTAATTGTTTATTCAAACTGTTTTCTACTCCTCTTTTCCATGGTCTGATTTTTTTTTTAATTTATACTGCTAAACGGTATAATATGCAAGCCTAAACGAGTTTTTGTCCCAATTTCTGTTTATCTGAATAATCTGTGTCATGATCCTTCTTCATCTATTTGCAAAAAGCCTCTTATTACTATAATTTATTACATGTAGGAACTTCTCCTTCGAGGTCAGCTCTCAGGTAGGTGGTGTCTCTAGCCCTGTCTCCTCTTTCCTTCCACCAGATTATGACGAACACAGGGAAGGCGAGGCGGAAGGGCCTGGCCAGTGTGCAGCAGAGTGCCGACGAGCCCCTGCGCCGGCCCGTCACCCCCGGCGGCCACAGGACCGGGTACCCAGTGTAAGTCCAGGCTAACAGAGGCGGGGATTTCTTTTCTTAAGCTTTGTTTTAACTGCAGTGTAAGATGTGTGTATGGAAAAACTCAAAATAAAACGTTCACATTGGAAAGCATTTATCTCTTCATTATTTCTCTCTTGGGGATTTTTGAGGGGAAAGAGGTTGTCTCCTTCACCCCTGGCTTTCTTCTTCCAAAAAAATGAAGTGGTTGGATTTCAGGATCTCCAGGCACTTCCAGCCTTCGCCCAGAAGAAGCCAAGTGTTGGCCAATGTAATTTCAAAGCAAGGACCAGAAGGAGCAGTGGTGGGTCCACCCAACAGGCCTCGGGTTGCTTTTGTTCTGCGCCCCTCCCCCACCATGGCACCAGGCCTTCTTTTGGGGTGGGGTGTGACAGGTTAAGACATCAAATCCACTTATCTTCAGATAAACACATTCACTTTTTTAAAGCAACTCTATGCATGTTTAGCGGCCTAGCTTTCTTCATAGACTTGCTCCTAGCTGGTTGATGTGAACAAAATTTTAGTGTGGTTACTCAGAACCTGGGACCAACCTGGGGACCTGGGGGCCTAGACCCCTGTGGGCTCTCGGGGGGCCCCAGGCCAGTCAGTCCAACTGTCTAGAGAGAATGGCAGAGAGAAACGGGTACGAGCCAGGGGGTTATAGAGAGCAGGAGAAAAACCTACAAATATTGGCCATAAAATAGTTCAAATGAATAGGACATATTTTACTTAGTTATCCCCCATAGCTGGGCAGTTTGGTTGTTTCCAGTTTTACTCTGTAGTAATTTGTAATGAACAGCCAGGCACCTGCCATACAGCCACAAACAGAGCACGGAAATGCCTGCCCTCACGGAGCTCCGTGCGTGGCTGCTGGGGATGCCGAGGCCCCCACACCCAGATCCTGCCAAGTGCTATTCCCACGTGGGACCTGACCGGTAAGTATTTCCAGGCCCATACCGTGGACTGGTGATCTATTTGATTTGATTTCAAAACTAGTCGTCATGTGCTTCATATTTCAAGGTTCTTATTTTAAACTGCTAATAATGTATTTTTCTCTTAAACTTACTGTCAGTAATTTTTAACTTAGCTTCCCGTTATGAACATTTGGCACCTTTGCATCCTCTCTCAGTCTCCTTCTGTGTGCATAATATATAATTTACACACATATACTTTGTTTTGCTGAACAGTTTGAAAGGAGGTTGCAGACTTGCAGCACGCATCCCCCAAGAGTAAGAACATCCTGTACTTAACCACATTATCATACCTAAGAAAGTCAACATTCACGTAACACTCTATAGTATATCAGTATTCCCTAACTGTCCCCAAAATTTGTATCATTTGTATCAGGTTTTGTGTTTGCTTGTTTAATCTGGAATATAGCCAAGTGTCAACTACTAGTAAATCTAGTTTATATCTTTTTAAATGGAAGTGGTAACAGGAACTGATAAAATTCATCTTGCTTAACATGGGATAGAGGATGCCAAATCATCATCTTTAAAAATTATTTTAAGATTATCTTTTAAAGTTCTTGAAACCCAGAGAGGCAACAATGACATAAGGATATTTAGTTAGAAATAAGGATAAAGGGAATCTAATAAATGTAAGATCTAACCAATGGGCACCGTTAATTCTGGGGTTGGGTGTTCTACCTTGTGGAGAGGAAGAAGACGATGTCTTTCCATGCCAGGGATGTCCCCTGACTTGTGGAAGTGGTCCCTGCAAGGACGGAGAGGACCTCATTTTCCTGGAACTGGACCTTCCCACTCTAGTGCAGTTGCCCAGCTCCCTCCATTGGGCCAATTCTACAGACATTTATATCACTTCTGCGTGCCAGATGGTGTGTTAATTTCTAGGGAAACAAGAATAAATGAGATGTGATTTCTGACTCCAGAAGCACACAGAGCCATGGTCGATGTCCTGTGGTCAGTGGATGGTGGCGGATGCCGGGTGCCTCGGCAGAAAGTCAACTTGCAGGATCTTTAGTTAGCCCCTGTAAAAAGTGTCTGTGACTCCGCGAATCCAGCTGGCTCTGATCCCCTGGTGTTGCCAGGAACGTCAGCTGAGAATCTCCGTGATCTTGGAGACACTGGCAATACACACCGCACACATTCCAGGTACTAGTACTTCTGGAGTCAGTAATCCCACTTCTAGGATTTGATGCTGAGAAGCAATCAGATACTCACAGATATATATACAGGGGCATTTATTGCAGTAGTCATAAGAAATCTAAATGGGGGCACCTGGGTGGCTCAATCGGTGAAGCCATCTGACTCTTGATTTCGGCCCAGGTCATGATCTCAGGGTCATGAGATCGAGCCCCATGTCGGGCTCTGCACCGGGTGTGGAGCCTGCTTAAGATTCTCTCTCTCCCTCTCTAAAAAAATAAAGAAAAACTTATAAAAAAAAAAAAAAAAAAGAATCGAAATGCCCAAAGTAGGAGGCTGTTTACCAACACAGTATTGAAAATGACATTTTAGAAGAATATTTAATACATGAGGAGAGCCTCACAATATATTGCTAAGCAAAAAAGCATAAACAGGGTAGATCCAGCCTGCTGGCCACTTACAGTGATCCCAAGTTTATTTTTTAAAGTACATATTTGCATTTTTTAAAAGTGAAAAGATATCAGATGTTAATCAGGGTCGTGTCTAGGTATTGGGAGGGCAGGACGTTCTATGTAGCCCATATATTTTCCTAATTTTTCATGATCAACACTTACTGGTTTTTTAATCAAGAAAAGAAGGTTTAAAATAAAAAGTCACCCTGTGCAACTCAGGGCCCTCCCTCCCCCCAGCCCTCCCTCGGCCTATTTCCACCCCCCCGCGCCGCCCGCCTCTCCGCTCCGTGGGTTCTGGATCCCTCCCCTCTGCTCACTGTCCAAACTTGGCACCATCATTTCGCACCTCGTTGCTCCACCTTCACCCTCCCGTCCTACTGCTTTCCTTCCCCAGGCCTCCCCACAGGCTCCCAGGTCCCCAGCCCCCCTCGCCCAGGCCCTCTCTGCCTGCTTCCATGCCCCCTGCCCTCCCTCCTTGGCCCTCGCGGCCCACTGGTGACTTCAAGTTACCGCTGCCACGGCCACCAGTGACCTCGCAGCTGCTGCTGCTGTTTTTTTTTTTTAATTAAAATTCAATTAGCCAACATCTAGAATATCATTCGCTTCAGCTGTAGAGTTCAGTAATTCATCAGTTGCAGCTTCCAAGCCGAGGCCGCACAGCGTCCCTCACGGTCGCCACTGCCGACCGCCCTCCTGGTCACTGTCCCGCCCCCACACCCTGCTGCCACGTGGGCTTGGTCCCTAACTCACCCCTCTGCCTCCTAAAATGCCCCATTTCTGGTCCCTACCCATCCTGCTTCTCCGCGGGTTTCCTTACACACTCCAGGCACCCAAATCTCACTCCTTTCCAGACTTGCCCCAAGCGCGAGGGGTGTCCCCCCAGCACCCCGAGTCAGCGCTTCCTAGGTGAACACCGCTGTCTTCTGAGCCCCCCCCCCCCGCTTCAGGGAATGGCGTTAATACCCCCAAACCCCCGAGCCAGAATCCCACCCCCTGGCGGCCGAGCCCTCTCCTCCCTCTGCTCTCCCAGCCCTGGCCTCCCCTCTGCCCTCCTAAGCCACCTCTTCTCCCCTAATGGTGCCCCCCGCCACGGTCTACCGTCCGCCACCCTAGAATGAGATTTCTAGCACATCATTGCGGAATGGCATTTCGGTGACTCCTATCTCCCTTAGGGATCAAATCTAACCAAACACTGGCTGACAAGGTCCTTCTCAGTTGACCACCCCCCCACCTTGGGCCTCGAAGTGCCCCCGGACACCCTGTCCCCTCCAGCCCGCAGTTTCTGTGGTGCCTGAAATCCTTCTGCAACAGTGCGGCATTGTTGTTTGTTTCTGCCTCTGCATCTGCCTCGCGGTGCTACCTCTGTTGGAAAATTTTCCCTCTTTTGGCCCCAGGCAGCCCTAGCTGGACTGGCTGCATGCCACACACACACACACACACACACACATGCACACACGCACACACACACACACAGCCTTCCTGCCCTTCGGGGTGGCTTAGCGTCTGTTTGTCTTTGCCACTGGAACTGACATTCAAGAACGGCCATCTCATGGGGCCCAACCCTGGGCAGAGCGCCACATACTCGCCGCGCTTGTGTCTCCCACCAAGCCCTCGCTGGGCAGGTGGCGAGTGTCTCCTTGTTGAAGAGAAGCCAGTGCTGGACTGCCAGGCCCACCTGGAGAGCCTTCCTCGGGATTTGCTGTCAAGGCTGAATGAGGAGCCAACCTCCCTCCCGCCACCTCTCGGGGCCTTGCTGGCCCGGGCCCCCCATCTCTGGCACCCGGCTGGGGTGGGGGGGTCCGGCACAATGAGACGCTCAGTCCGTGTCTGCGGGGTGAATGGGTCTCCACCGACCCGGGTGCTGGCGGGCGGGAAGGCACCACGGAGGTGGTGAAGACAGCGAGCTCGTCCCGGGCCCGTGCCTGCCGAGCTCTTGCTGTCACGGCTGACATGACACGTCAAGTCTTTCTGATTGCATTCATCCCTTCAGCTCATCTGCTTCATCCTCTGTGGAAAAACCAGAAGATTGGTGCCTTAAATGGTTTGGTTGAAATGTCATGCTCCCATGTCCCCCAAAGCCAGAAGATACCATTTGTGTGTTAGAAAGATATGAAGCCATGTATCACTGTAAATGTTTAGGAGCTACCAGGGTATTTTCTAGTTTCTGCCAATATCCTTAAAAAGGTTTAATGTCTGCTAATACCAGTTTAATAAGGAATTTCAGGTACTTCCACTTCTTTGTATCCGTTTGTGATGCCACGCGGTAGTCAGCAAATACCTCCTGGCTATCTGCATTTATTGCTGTTTTTCATTTTTTCTTCCAGGCTGGAAGACCATCCCATTTCTCCCCAGATGGCCCAGCCTGCCCAAAACGGCAGCCTCCCATCCCTGACAAGCGCCCACCCTCCCGTCTACAAGGGGGCTGAGCCCGGTGCTTCGGAGCCTTGCATCTCCTCTTCAGGTAAGAACCGTAAGAACCGCAGGCAGGTGGGGGCGGGGAGTCAGCTCGGGGGCTGGTGATGCCTGGACCAGAAGCAAGCAGCAGCAGTTAGAGACC